ACTATGGGGTAAGTATTTTTCCCCATAGTTCTCTTAGGGGTCCCGTGACCCAAGGCCCAGTATAACAACAAAACGTTTCCCGGCACACTCGCCAGCATGCAAAAAAAACCTTGCGGTAAAGCTGGTAACGAATTGATGAGTGCGTTTGCCATTTGTTTTTGACCCCCATGTAATTTACAATTCTGGTGTGAAGCATTGCAACAACAGCAGTAAAAAGAGCATGCTCTAAACAGAAAAAACAGTGCACTTTAATGTGCATTGTTCAGACTTTTGCGGCAGCCACGTTGTTGGGTTTCTATTGAAATCAATGGCAGTGCAACAAAACTGATGTTGACACACATCAAAATACATTGTCATGTTACATTGGCATTCCTGCGGCAGAAACCTACATATTACTGTGGCAGAAATGCCAGGTGTTCCCGTTGAGATGCAGCCATTGTACACATTAAAGTTAAAGGGGAACTATGAGGTGAGTGATTTACACTCATCCTCATAGTTAGAGCCGACATGTCACATCTCAGTACAGGGTTGTGGAAATTTTAAAAAAACCTACTTGTCCAAGGGCTAAAGCGGGGGCCAAATCTACTTGTCCGGGGGCCAAATCTACTTGTCCAAGGGCTAAAGCGGGGGGCAAATCTACTTGTCCAAGGGCTAAAGCGGGGGCCAAATCTACTTGTCCGGGGGCCAAATCTACTTGTCCAAGGGCTAAAGCAGGGGCCAAATCTACTTGTCCTTCTTGTCAGTCTACTTATCCCAATACAAAAAAATTGTTTTAATCAAAACAAGGGATGCACCAATACCGGTTTTTCAGTATCGAGTACCGATATTTTGCTTTCGGATCTCGCCGACACTGAATACTAATACCGGTGCTTCCGCTGGCATAGAGCAGGCTTCCCTGATAATCAGGAAGCCGTGCAGTGGGTAATGACATCCCGCCCGGTTTCCTGATTGCCACGGAAGCCTGCTCCATGTTATTTGGCCTGTTTGATTGTGATTGGCCAGGAAACCTGCTTCCTGGCCAATCAGGAAGCCGGGCGGCGAGTAATGACCTGATTGACCGGGAAGCTGGCTTGATGCTGATTGGCCAGGAAGCCGGATTTCCAGCCAATCAGCAAAGAGCCGGCTTTTCCGGCCAATCAGAAAACCAGGAGGCGGGTCATTACTTACCGCACAGCTTCCTGATTGCATGGGAAGCTGGCTCCATGTTCCCCTACGACAGTAACAGTCAGAGGAAATGTTCATCTCGACGTAAGTTCCAATATCGGAGCATTTGGGTGAGTACGAGTATTCGCCCAAACACTCTGTATCGCAATGATACTAGTATCGGTGCACCCCTAATCAAAACATATTTGACTGTGCTAAATTAAGCTTCTCACTGGTCAGCGCAGTCATCTGACCACGTTGACCAATGAGTGCTTGCAATTTGCGAGCGAAATCCAAAATGCATAGGGGAGGACTGCTCTGGACAGCAGTATGAGGTACAGATAGTACACCCATACTGGCGGAAGGGAGGGATTGTTTCCCGAAAGGTAAGTATAGCCAGGGGGTGGCGGTTTGGGAGAGACGGGGGCCAGATTTCATCGGGTAATTTTATTTTTCCATATTACCTGGGAAAATGAACTTACCCTTTAATGCACATTGTGTGTGTGTAAGAGAATTCTGCTGCCTGGCTACCACCATGGAATGGCGGCAGCGATCTCAAAGCACATGCACAATGTCCTGCATGCAGATGGCGGTGGTAGCGGGGTTGGTTTTAATTTTTTTTTACTTTTTCATTTTTATATATTTTATAATTTTTTTACTTTTTTAATAACTTTTTAAAATTTTTATTTATTTTCTTTTCCCACTTAATGTTATTCCTATCACACAGGGATTAAATTCCCCCTGTGACAGTTTGGAGGTGACGGGTTCTCTTTATGGAACCTGCCCTCCAACACAGAACAGATGTTCTGTGCAGTTCCTGACAGCCGAGGCAGGTGGCGCCGCGGTCTCAGAGAACACACAGAAAGCCGGTAGAGCAGACGTTCTTCGTCCGACGTCTGCTCTACGGGCTCTATGGCTGAGCCGTTCTGCCGTAGTTTTCTGGGTCCCCCAGGAGAGTGGGGGACCTCGAAAAACCACGGCGGGGGTGCGGGCAGACACGATTGCCGCTGCTCAATTTGATACAAGTGATCTAATTAGATCACTTGTACTAAATGAGCGGCGGCTCCACAATGTACATTCAGCTCTGCTTGTCCGGAGCCGGGCTAAATGCACATAAAAACTACTCGCCCAGCGCCCGAAACTGCATGTCCCGGGCGTTGGGCGATAGGAGTTCCACACCCCTGCAGTATATAGAGGGCAATATTCCGTTGTTATTTCATTGCAAGACTCCGTTGTCATGTTTTCTTTGCTATATGTGTCTAATTAGGTATTTTCCTTCACTTCCTGTCCTGAAGACTCAACAGGAATTTAAAGGATATATTTCCAATGTGAGGGAAAATCCCTCTTAGATAGTTGTCCACATTGGAAAATGTCTCCTCTATTCTTGTTCTGGTGGCAATGCCAATTTTTGCATTTATCCTTACTTTAATTCCTAGTGACCAGGACAGTTAGAGAGAACGACTCTCCCTAACAAAGACACAACTTGACAGGGGATCTAATCCCTCAGCACTACATCCGAGCATAAATAAAAGTTTTGCCTAAAGTTATACTTTAAGGCCAGAGTAGACAACCTCTGTAGACCAGCTGTTACATAGTATTTGAGGTTGAATAAAAACATAAGTCCATCAAGTCCAACCTATAGCGTGTGTGCGTGTATATGAGTCCATGTGTGATTTTGCTCTTAAGAGTACTGGTACCCCTTTATTTTTTGGTCACCAAGGAACTTGTCTAGAAGTTTCTTGAATGATTCCACACTCTTCCACACTCTTAGCTGAAATTACTTCCTGCGGCAGCGAGTTCCAGACCCTAACCGCTCTAACTGTGAAGAACCCCTTGTGCCCTGTGTGTTGAAATTTTTTTTTTCTACCAATTTTTGGTTGGGTCCTTGTTACGGAGCTAACCGTGAACAAGAAAATCATGCCCCCCTTAATCTCCTAACCTCCAAAGAGAACATATTTAATTTTAACAACCTTGTTTCATAGTTCAGGTCCTCGAACCCCTTAATAAGTTTGGTTGCCCTCCGCTGGACTTTTTCCAGCTCAAGGACATCTTTTCTGAGTATCGGTGACCAAAACTGGACCGCATACTCCAGATGTGGCCGAACCAGTGATCTGTAAAGTGGCAAAATTATGGACTTGTCCCTGCAATACATTCCCTACTTAATGCAAGACAGGACTCTGCTTGCTTTGTTTACAGCAGCCTGGCACCGCGAGCTGTTCTGCAATCTGCGGTCTATAATGACCCCCAAATCCTTCTTCGTTTCCAACTTTCCTAGTGGCACCCCCATAAGTGTATAGTCCATTTGCCTATTTTTAACTCCAAAGTGCATTAATTTACATTTATCGACATTGAACTTCATCTGCCATACAGTTGCCCACTCCCCGAGTTTATCCAGGTCCTGTTGTGTTACTACAAGTCCCATGAGGCATTGCAAGACTCCGACAGCCACATGCATGACTCCCGGAGACAAAGGCATGATGGGACTTGTAGTGTTACCACAGCTAGAGTTCTAAGGTTGCCTAGCCTTGCTTTAGGGACTCATGCACATGGCAGTAAATGACCGTATAGTGTGTATGTATGTATGTATGTATGTATGTATGTATCTATGTATGTATAGATAGATAGATAGATAGATAGATAGATAGATAGATAGATAGATAGATATCTGTGCAACGGGTGACAGGTGCAGTGTACTGCCTGGCAGGATGTACAAATCAATGGCAGATGGCAGCTACACGCATGTATGTACTGGAGGTCCTCCTCGTCAACTCGGGCCCACACCACAACCCTTACACATGCATACATTCACAGATACACACAGTAAAATAAAATCCATATACCAATAATATTATATATTTATTTATATATACATCAGATTTGTGAATTGATGTTCAAGTATATGTCAGTGTAAAGGTCACAATTTATTAGACAGCCCAAGACCTTTTTAAAAAAACGCTAAGGAGTAAAGTCCCTGATACACAGCTGACTAGTTGCTATGGGCAGCAAATGAAATAAATGTTCTCTATAACTAGACAACCAGGACATATAATTAATTCTATATTATCCACAAAGGGTTAACAGCACTCTCTCAATCCTGCAGCAGTACCTGTACCTGCTCTCAATAGTAGTCTATGTCAGCCCTCTCTGTGCAGCAAGTAGCTTCTTCCTTCTGAGAGCCAAGCCTCGTTCTGAGGCTACTCTAGAGATCACATGACCTTCCTCCAGGAGGCAAGCCTCACTCTGAAACTTTACCCCCTGATATCTTACCAGAAAGGTTTACTCAGAGTAAACCTTTCAGGGAGAAAATGCCTCTCTCACGGACATCAGGGAGCTGCTGTCCAAAAGAGGGAGACTCCCGTAACATCAGGGAGACTTGAGATCCCTGACTGTACAGGACCATATGCACCTCTGCATTCGGCCATATAAAAATACAGCTACTGAAATGATTGTATATTTGTGTAGAGACTGCCTGCAATTGATTTATACAGGCTGACTGATGGTACCCTGCCACCCATCACTCCTGACGTATTAAACGCCATTTACCGCTGTGTGCATGAGCCATAAGTGCCCTTTCTTGCCGGAAATGTTTATTTTATTTTTATTTCCCCTCTAAAGAGATTTTTATCAGAGGATAGGTAGGTTAAATAAAGGATTACAACTGCAAAGAACGTCTGCGAAAAGTACGAATCTCCCATCTACTCCAAAGAGGGCACACAAACACTTCCACATGAGTAAAGACTTGGGCGGGGCTAGGACTACATCACCCACAGTGCACCGGCTCGCTCTACAGTCGCCAATAAGTGACATAAGGGCTGGCGTAGGGGGCGGTACCTGCTCTCTGATTGGCTAGTTCGTCAGGCACGGGAGAAGCTTACCACAACAAGCGGGGCGCGGTGAGAGTCATTGGTTCCTAGCACGAAGTCACCCAGCCGTACTGTGTCCAACCATGGCTCAGGCAGGACCTCTGAAAGTGTGCATCGTGGGCTCCGGAAACTGGTGAGAGCTATGCACGGTGATGATGAGAGGGTGGCACTGTCCTGCGCAGCACAAGCAATAGGTGCACAGCATGGCTCAGTGCTGGGCACATAGGGGGAATCTAATAAGACTGAAGCAGTTGCCTATAGCAACCAATCATCTTCTCTTTTTAGTTTATGTTAAGCTTTAAAAATGCAAGACAGAAGCTGATTGGTTGTCATGGGCACCTGCTCCATATTCTGTCTGCTCCAGTTTTGATAAATTGCCCTCTTTGTGTCTTGATCGGTGAAATCTTGGCAACGTGCAATCTTTGTTTACATCCAGTTCTACATGCATGTCTGTAACTTGGAGCAGTCTGCCCCAATCACTAGAGAGTTTATAGATATGTCTTATGTACAGTAACCCTATGAATGAATATGCACTTTTATATCTGGGCAGTTTATTCTGATTTCTTTTATTTTCCATTGCCATGTGACCAAGCTGATTTGGGTGTCTTTACATGTGACAATATGCATTTTTTTTTCTCTTTTGTTTTGCAAAACATTTGCTAATAGTGATGCAAAAATGTGGCTCAGCTGAAGGGAAGTAACTTCCTTACCCCCTGCCCACATGTCCTACCCCTCCCCCACCAGTGCTGAGAGCAACAAATGGCCCTCGCTATGTTCAGGGCTATGTTCAGGTGTTCTGGGTGTCTCTCTTCATTGTTCGTGGCATATATGTGTGCACACATCAATACATTATCATCTATGATAAACTAAAGGTGCCCATACACCTTACGATTATCGGACGATTTTCGTATGCGATCGACTTCTCGCCCGATATCGTGTGTGTGCATTGCAGTGTCCGACCGACATTACTGTACAATCGCACGACTTTTGACGGTCAAGCATGTTTGAAAACTTTGCTAGATCGTACGATTGTCGTAAGGTTGCTGGCTTTTCCGTCCGTCAAAAGTCTACGATCTACACTGCGCTAACGAAAATACGGCAAATCAATTACCGCATTTCGTCCAGGTGCTTTTTGTTAATTACGGCTAAATCTTGCGATCGTCGGGGCAGGATGGGGCTGCCATACGAATATCGTACGACTATTCAATCGTCGGACTAAAAGTTTCGTACCGCTAATCGTAAGGTGTATGGGCACCTTAAGACTTTCGTCTTTTGTAGGAAATCAACTGCGTATCTTGGATTGATCATTTAGGGCCCATTCACATCTGATGCACCGGGGCTGGGCTATTATTATACAGGATTTATATAGCGCCAACAGTTTGCACAGCGCTTTACAATGAAAGGAAGACATTACAATACAAATTAAGACAAGATGGGGCCCTGCCCGTGAGGGTTTACAATCTAAAAGGGAGGGGGCAGTGATCAAAATGTGTTGGGTTGGCTGTTTTTTCCAGTGCAGCCTTGTTTCAAATGGGCTCCATTCACACAACTGCATTGCCACAAGTGACATTTCATTCAGTTCTGCATAAACAGCATTATCTGTTCCGCTTTGCATCGCACTGTGCTGAAAAAAGTACGGCATGCAGTACTTTTTTCAGCGCAGTGCAGTACGACGTGATGCAACTGCATCGCACCACGCTGTGCCCATAGAACGTAATGGAATGTCACTTGTGACATGCCAATAAAGTTCTAACAAAAAAAGGAAACAGTGCAATGTGTGCTATCAGCACAGTGTTGGGTAACGCACACCAGTAGCTGTGCAGTGTATCGTGGCTGCTAATGTGAATGGGCCCTTTAAAGCAGAACTCCAGGCTACTCAAATCTTAACCCTTGCAGTGGTGCTACCCCCGTATTGCAAGGGTTAAGTGCTCGTTTTGTTTAGTGAGCTAAAGTATCAAAGTTATACTCACCCGAACCTCTATTCTGGTTTGCTCTTACACCGCTCCCTCCAGCCTCCTCCACTCCAGCATGTTCCTCAGCGTCCTCGTGTTCTATACACAGTGTATAGGATGTGATGACTCGCATGACCTTAGACAATTGGAGAAGAGGGAGAGCAAGGCTGAAGGGACCGGTCTAAGAGCACGCCGGGATTGTGGTTCAGGTGAGTATAACTTTATTTTAGCTGCTAGGACAAAAGGTGGGCATCCAAAAGCTTCTAGGCAATTTCAATTTTTTCTTTGCATTGGAGTCCACAGAATATCAATGGACTACAATTGTTGTCATGTGTTCTGCTGAGAAGTGCCTCTGCTGCGGTGGCAAACGGGACTTGTAGTCTTTAATTCCCAGAACCTGTCAAATGATTGGTTCACATCATTTTCTGGACCACATCTGGTCTGGAAAATGGTGTGAACCTGACGGCCGTTCCAGTGCATTCCAGACAAAATAAGACAAGCAGTATTTTTCTGGTCTGGTCTTGAACGGACTGCGCTGGTGTGAACAGAGGCCAGAAATAGTATAGGGATACATTTGGATGCATTTTGGGTCCAGAAATGGTCTGGTCTGGAGATGATCTGGTGTGAATGGGCCCTGAATGGATGATGCAGCTGTGTGGACAGAGCCAAATTTTTTTAAAAAAAGCATCCTGTGGGGAGAAGAACCCCGTGACTCGGTTTAGGGGGGGAGGGGAGTTGGGGCTATAACCATGTTTTATATTGCAATCTAAATATGGGTTAGAAAAGTAAACTTTAAAGGAGAACTATGTGGTTAAGTCTTTTCCCCATAGTTCTCCATAGGGGACCCATGGGAGGACACAAACTAGCTGTAGCTTGCGGTATACTGAGACGCCGCAGCTGAAGCGGATCCCGACAATTGTGCCGGGATCCACCCAGCTGCGTGACTGACAGCTGGCTCTGCCTATCTAGAGGCAGAGCCAGCTATACCCGCCCCCTCCCCCGTCCGTTCCGCCAGTCAGCGCTGGCAGATAGGAGGGGGGAATCCAATCCCTCCCCTGTCACGGCAGAGAGCCGTGACAAGATCGAGAGGTGAGCGAACGCCGGTATGTGTTGGCTCACCTCCCGATCTACTGAGCCGACCTGTGACAGTCTCATTGTCACAGGTCGGCTAGAACTATGAGGTGAGTGAAAAGCACTCACCTCATAGTTCTCCTTTAAAGAGAAATCGTTTGACTGACCTCTCCTACTAGTTCCCTGGCTGTCATGTTGATCCTGTGGCTACGACTCGGGTATGCAGGTTAGTATTGCTTTTACTGGCCAGGAAATTCACATTTCAGAGGTGGCAGCCAATCTCTCAGTACATGTGACATACATATACACTAACTAGCTGTGATGGGACAGCAGGATGAGTCCAGGGGAGGAATTATTCTGGATGTCTGCTTGTGATCAGCTTTGGGAACTAAGGCCAGCCATGAACCGTGGTGTACATTTTGCTGTGCAGACAGAAGCATCCGCTTAGGGTCCCGTGAGCAGCGACATTCTTGTTGGTGAGAATGGAGATAGCATTCACTATGGAGATCAGGTACAACAAAGCCTCTGGGTATGGTCATTCCTGTTTTGTATCCTCAGGCATGTATACAGGAAATGCCGGATCATCCAGTAGGCTCATACCTATAGGCAACCCAGGCAAAGAGGAACCTGTTCCCTGTGTACATACTGGCCACCCATTTCTATGGTCATTATGGATAACCTTCTCCTATAGGATTATTTACACATTGTCATAATGTCCTGTGTGAGGCTGACCGTACAGCCAGGTAGCCAATGCTCCTTACAAATTCCAGCCAGCTCCTAACTTTTGAGGTTTTGTCTAGTTGTTGGCAACGGAGCTCCTAAATGAATCCTGCTGGCTCCTGGATTGGACAGACTGGTTTCTGAATTTCTTTGGCCACCCCTGCCTTACACTATACAATCTGATTTTACATTCTCCTTTAGGTCTATCATCAATTATGTTGTATAAGGGCCTGCCGAATTAAAAGGATTGTTTGGCTATGTCCTCATATTACATATTTTTGGTAAAGCTAAAGGAGATTGTACAGACTGAACAATCAGATTGTATAGTGTATGGCCAGCTTTAAAGCAGTAATCCTAGCAATGGAGTATTACTTTAGGCGATCAAACCTGTCTTTATAGGCTACAGTGATAGAATACGCACGGCATGCTGCATCAGTATCATGTAAGTTTAGCATAAGTACAATTTAGGGTCCATTCACATCCAGCCACTGCAAAAAAACGCACATCGGCTGGTTTGTGTTGCCCAACACAGTGCCAATGTGCCGATCCCTGCACATCACACTGTGTGCTTTTTTTTTTTTTTATAGAACTTTATTACAATTGACATTTCATTCATTTCTACAGACACAGCGGGGTGTCTGTTCCGCATTGCATCACACTGCGCCGAAAAAAGTAAGACCTTTTTTCACCGCACACCATCGCATTCCCACCTCAACATGATGGTGTGAAAAGTGTCCGTCTGGGACAAGGCAAATTGCCTGTGCAGCCCTGACACGTGGTGTGAATGGACTCTATGGGCTGGGTTCACACCTGAGCGTACTTTTTCAACTTGTTTTTTTTTTGCGTTTTTTAGCGCGTTTTTTAGTTCAGTGAAACGTGCGTTTCACTGGTGGTATGATTTTTCTTTTTTTTTTCCTTTTCCCTATTTTAAAATTTTAATTTTTTAGTTTCACTTTTAAACTTCCCGCCTGCTCCGCACCATCCCCCCACCCCCATACGACGCGGCCGCTCTTAAGGGACTGAAGTCGGCAGCCGCCAGAGAACACATCGCGGACAAGGTAACACCTGTACACTGTATTCCCGAGTGTGGCTCGGGGTTACCGCTTTGTTAACCCCGATCCACACTCGGGAATACCAATGTAAACGCGCGGCAAAACGCCCCAAAGAAGCTCCTGTACTTCTTTGGGCGTAGGGCGTTTTGCAGCGCGTTCCTACGCGCTGTAAAACGCCCAGGTGGGAACCATGCCCATAGGCAATCATTGGTTTTCACATGTTGAGCGTTTTACATGGCGTAGGAACACGCTGTAAAACGCCCAGGTGTGAACCAGGCCTTACTGTTATACAATGTGTCGTTATTCTCTGACCTGCTGTACTACATAGACATTAAGCTGGCCATACATGCTCCAAGCAGATTGTACATGACTCCTTTTAATCTACCAACCGCTATGTAGTGCAAGGTCCTGCCTGACCAGATACAGGCTGCATGGGTTTTTTGGAAGAATGACAATTAGGGCCGCCATCAGTGGAGTACAATCAATCCTCCTGTAAGGAGCGCCTCTGTACAGAGACTGATGTCACTGGGCTCCGTGTTCTCTGTACAGCACTGCAGTATATGTCAGAGCTATATAAATGTGTAATAATAATGTGTGACTGTGGGTGGACATGTGAACATTAGAGTGTAAGCTCCTCTGCACAGAGACTGATGTGACTGGCTCAGTGTGGTGGTGCAGGGGGGGACCAGGCCTAATGCCGTGTAAGGGGACCCAACATTTCTGATGGCTGCCCTGATCACAATGATCACCATGGTCAATCTAAAGGAAATTGTAACATGTATGGCTGGCTTTGCATACCCGCTGTGCTGTTGAAATTACAATATAGGCTGGATTGGAAGTTGTATATTGGAAGTTGTGGAGTTAGAGCTGTCACAGGCTGGGTGACATCACCCCATCAAACCAATTCATATCATTTATGGCAGAATTTGCTATAAAGGGGGGGAAAAAAAATCAATCTTGTAAAAGTAATACATTGGATTAAGAGCTTTTCATTTTGTTTGATGGGGGTTTTCATTGATATCAATAGAAACGCAGTTCAATGCATGCATAAAGACATGTGTCACGGTCATAAGCATGTAAATGCACCAGGACATGTAGGTGGAACTCCAACCTTATGGTTTTTAGCTATTAGAAAGAACAAAAATATTTGTATATCTCGGTTGTACGTTATTTTTCCACTAGATGTCCTCTTATAATGCCCTAGAGGTGTTCTCGTTGTAATCCTCCCCATCTCTCTGTGTAGAGTTACAGATTGTTGTGTTAATCTGATTAGAGATTCTGTTAATAATGTATTGTCAGAACAGCGGCAAATCTGTCCTCTGCCTAGGTCAAGACTGTGCTGGTAATATTTTCTTCACTGCTGGCTCTGTTGGTCTAGTTCACACGGCTTCAGCTTGTATAACAGCCTCAAAACCTTAAAACTGTTGCACATTCTAGAAGTCCTCCTGAGAATAACTTCAGGGCTATTCAGCTGTAATTCCGGAGTTTCCCCACAAGTTTGAGATCATTTTAAGAAAATTCTGCTTAAAAAGGCAAAAACTAGGATAATAAATGTGTCACTTTATGCCTTAGAAATGGGGAATGCAGTCTAAGGGCTAGTCCACACCAGCCACAGTGCCAATTCTGGCCGGATAATGCTTTTTATGAAACATATTTTTTCCCCCCACTTTTTTCCTTTTTTTTTTTTTTTTCTTTGTTTTGTTTTTTAAAAACTGTTTAAAACTTGTTGTTTAAACTAGGGGGCAGCTCCACAACACAGTAAGCTGCAAGCCGGATCAGTGGCTGCAACAGCACTGTGACCACTGCGATTGGCTATCCCAGTGATCAGTGTGCTGGGGCTCTCCTGATTTGCTGTTGAGGGTCTGCCATGAACACCGAGGGACCCAGCCAGAGCACAAACCCCATGAGCACTGGTCCCGCCACTGGACCAGCAATTATTTTCCCGCATGACGGAATCATTCCGTCTCCGGTCTGTAGGTATTTGAAAGATTTTGGCAGAATAATTCCGCCATCGGTCGGGAAGGGGTTAAGATCTGTGTTTTAACATTCCTAAACTGGACCTGAATGGTTTTTGACCCAATGGTAATCTACTGCTCCAAACCACTTTTAGTCTCCTCGTCTGGATACAACGTAGGTGCTGGTCAGGAGCCGTTTGTGCTCCGAGAAAAATAGGTCCCTAAGAATAAGCCCATTGGGGTGAAATGCGTCACGGGTGAGTGACCTATGGACGGGGATAGGAGCATGCGTGCTGTTGGATAGCAATAACGTTTATTAGTGATGTCGGTGTGTGGCACTTCCTTGGCATCTGGAGCTGAGTGGTGCAGCTGCAAAGTTCAGGCTTCTGCACATTCTCTCCCAAGCAGAGCTTGTACTGAGGTACGAAGTTTCAGTCAGGAGAGATGGGGGAAGGATGGCTGGACTTCAAACTGCATTAAATAACCTCGCACAGTGTTCAGCTGTCCTCACTCTAGGTAGAGCTGCCCATATTTCCGCATCTATCTAGACTAGAGGGAGGACGGCTGGACGCTGTATGAGGTGATTTAATGCAGTTTGAAATTCCAGCCGTCCATCCAACCCCCCCCCCATATCTCTCCCAACTGAAACTCCGTACCTCAGTGTGAGCTCTGCCTGGGAGAGAATGTGCAGAAGTCTGAGCCTTGCAGCTGTGGTCGAGTGATCGCAGTTGTAATGCTTTCCAGGCTTGAATGGGAATATTAAAGAAATGCATTTTTGAATATATATGTATATTATTAACTATGCATTTCTTTCAATTTTGCAAAAGGTGAACTTATCCTTTTAAGTAGAATTATGAGATAACATATGTAAAATGCAAATGTTTTTGATCTACATTATGATGGCCCATTACCTGCAGATCCCAAGAATGAACCTGCCTTCTGCTCGGTGCCAAATTCCATTCCGCCCAACCCTTCAGCATTGATCTTGTGTGTTTAGTCATCAGCCTGCCAGGCACATAAGAAAGAACACACTAGACTAGCCTAGGAGCCAAGAAACCTGAAATTCTTCTCTGATTCTGAATTGGTGATCTATTCCTATAATGTTTAACATTGTTGTGTATTTACATTATATTTAGACTCTGTTCAGTTGTTTCTATTTATAAATCCTCCCTTTTTTATTTTTCAAGGGGCTCCGCCATTGCCAAAATCGTAGGACACAATGTGAAAAACTTGCAGAAGTTTGCTTCTACTGTCAATATGTGGGTGTTTGAAGAAAACATTAATGGGAGAAAACTCACGGAGATCATCAACACAGAGCATGAGAATGTGAAATATCTCCCGGGTTATAAGCTACCGGAGAATGTGGTGAGATTCTCTTTGTATTGCCAATGTTTTAGAGAAGCCATTGAGAAAATATGAAAAAAGTCTGTTATAGTGGCTGGTGGATGAACTTGCCTGTCTGATTTGCATGGGGACAGGCGCCTTTAAGTCATGGTTCACACTGAGCGTTTTGTAGTGCTTTTTCTGCCCCAAAAAAAATCCCATTCATTTCTATGGCCTGTTCACATCTGAGTGTTTTGTCGCAATAACCAGTTGTAACCAGAACAGGTGTCTGCATTATACGATTTCCCCTCAGCTCCTGTTGTGGTGACAACTGTACATTTTTGGATTTCCCATCACTTTCTGTTCTAGTGGCACTCGGCTGTATCCAGCACTAAAAAGTTTTGTCTACACACAAACACTATTATAAAGTATAGCAGTACTGTATACGTGCACATTGTACAGTTTTGTGCTAAAGCTTCAATTTCATTTCAGAAGTGCTGTGGATGCCATCATAAATCTCTGTGTCTAATTGGAGTAGACACACAGTCTTGCAGGCTGCTTTATTTCAGGGCATTGTTTGCTTTTGTTAAGAGTTAGCACTGGCATGGCTGGCTCCCAAGGGTGCATAACTCACAGTATTCCCTCTGAGGGTGCCAGTTATGTGCTGCAGAGAATTGATGCTCTTCAACCTACGAAAGGCAGCCAAGCCGTACACTGGTAAAAAAAAAAGTTGCTGTACAGTACAGTGTATATATTACCCATTGTCTTAGGCCCCATTCACACTGAGCGACTCCCCTTTAGCGGTGGATCCGCACGGCCGGGATATCACGACTGTTCGGGGCGACGTCCAGCGTCTGTAGCGCGACCTTCACCGTCGGGCTCCATTAAAAAATAGCAAAATCCGCCGAAAAAAGGGTCCTGCGACATGGAGCTAAGACAGCTCTATTGAATAGCATTGGCCGACGACTTCTCGCGATATCGCGCGGCAAAATGCGCGATATCGCGGCGGAAATCGCGCGATAAATCGCTTGGTGGGAATGGGGCCTTACTGATTCATCAAGTGGTGAGAGGCTAGTTTTTTTTTCTCCATCATTCATTGAAGGTGGCATGGTAATCTTCATGAAGTTGTCCTGTTGGAAGCTAAAGAAAGTTGATCTTCCCACATAGGTTATAACCTCGGCCTTAAACCTGTTTGTAGCTGTTATGGTTGGAGTGCTAGCTCTTCTCCTGTTCTACATAGGTAATATGTAGCTTGTGTCTTAGGTGAGATGATGTAGGGAAGTACTGATCCCCCTCAGGCTCCATCCATGCAGTGGTAATTCATCATTCCTGTTCAGCATGCAGAGCCAAACCTAAGTTCCCATATTGCCAACAACCAGGCCCCCTACCAGAGTTTCCTGTTGGATCCTCAGTTACCTGTGCAGCTGACCTTGGGCTGTCCATGACCCAAGCCATGGATGTGGGGTTAAAGGAGAACTATGAGGTGAGTGCTTTTCACTCACCTCATAGTTCTAGCCGACCTGTGACAATGAGACTGTCACAGGTTGGCTTAGTAGATCAGGAGGTGAGCGAACACATACAATGAGCTGCAGCTCGCGGTATACTGAGTCTAGGGTGATGGGAGGACGCTAGTTTGTGTCCTCCCGTTACCCTAAGGAGAACTATGGGGAAAAGCCTTAACCCCATAGTTCTCCTTTAATCAGATTATGTGCCTTTTTCATCAGAGTCTCTGAGCAGGAAGCCAATTTTCTGCTATCATTTGTAAGTATAAGCTGCAATGCATAAGCCTTCATTCCCTTTATCATCCTTTTCTCCTGAAGGCTCCGATTCAAACATAATTGAAGGTGCGTGGGTCATTAGAATAAATTTTTTGACAGTTTTGTATTTGTAGATCTGGTCACCAAGATTCCTAATCTCAAGCTTGCTTTCAGAGTTGCCTTCCAACTTAAATTTTCCCAATCACCAGAAGTTCGACAAAGCCTTGACAATGGAGGAAAAAGATCTTTTTTTAAGTGGTACTTTCTCCAGAAGCAGCACTTCCTATCCCCTGCTTCAAGAAGCCTAAGGTTTTTTTTATGGGTGCAACATCTTTCAGAGAGCCCATAGACATTAGGCTATAGCATTTTGCTAATGACCACAACATGCTTGCTGGTCAGCTTTTTGGCCTCCTTTTTACCTCCACCAGGGACAGCAAACCTAACATGATCTTGGCATGCCATCTCAAAAAGGACCTTTCAAAATGTATTTCCTGGAGGGAGGGTATTTTTGTGCTGTGCTGGTTCCAGCTAGATCAGTCCAGCAAATAAATCTTAATGGTGTCCATTTGGGGAGTGCATTGGACTCCATCGATGGGAATGAACAGGGTGAGTGGCCCTTTTGCGCAGTGAACACATGGCCCAGTCAACACTATTTACAAGTCAAGGCTCTGTGGTGCTGGACAGTGAAAATCATCTGAGCAGGCTGAAGGTATTTCACAATGGTGGTTGCACTTGAGGGGAAAGGGGGACCTTTACAGGACAACTGTATGTGAAGTTGTCCATTTAAACTTAAAAAAGTAAAAGAAAATCATATCATCTAATTCTAATGACAATTAGTAATCAATACAAATATTGAGCATGATAAGTCATAGAAGTAGACATGGATTATCAGGCATGTTCTTGTAAGGTTCACATGGTTTACAACATTCATATACATCAAAATGAAACCGCCACTAAAATTTTACCACAAATCTATGATTAACTTTCGAGATGTTCTCCATCTTTGTCTCTCTTGTTACCTGTTATCGTAACCATTTTCTTCTAATCTTTATAGGTCGCCGTTCCAAATCTTACTGATGCGGTGAAAGATGCTGATCTCCTAGTCTTTGTCATTCCTCATCAGTTTATACATAAAATCTGCCAGGAGATCTCAGGGAAGGTCCATAAGAAAGCTCTTGGGATCACGCTCATCAAGGTGATGGTTTTGCAGTAATTATAAGAAGAGAGATAAGATTCTCCCGTTTTAATAAGCAAGGAGAGGAAGTGTAACTTTATGGCTAATTATATAAGCACCTACTGCTATACCGATGTTCCCAGTAATATCTGAGCAGGGCTTATGGTACCAGAGGCATATGTGTTGAGCTGGAAGGGGGTAGCTCTCACTGCAGTCTAGGGAACTCCAGAAGTAAAATCTTATTGCCATACTTACTGGTTCAGTTTCTGTCAGGCTTGCAGTTTTGCGTTCTACTAGCTATTTTGTGTGTTTATATGCTTCTGCTCATGCCATATTCCTCCATTGCCATTTAATAAACTCAAACTATGACAAACAGAGCTGAAGAGCTTCATTTTTTTTTCCTGATTGAGGATAAAAATATGGCCTTGGTCATATTATGGTAAATGTTTGCTCTACTCCGCTGGCCATGAGACTCAAATCCTGATGCTTTAATGTGTTATTTATGACACTAATATTTCCAGCTCTCTATGCTGAAAATAAGACTATGTTATTGACTCTAATCTAGTTCTGACATGTTTTTGCATATTTTCACCTATTATTGTAAAGTGTACCATAACTTATTTGGTTTACGATTTTTATATTTTTGCATTTGCCGTATTTAAACGTACATCTAAAGCCATATTTAAATATTTACTTTCTGGATTTATATTATGTATAGTAGAGATGCACCGATACAAGCATCGGTATCGGCGGCGATACCGAGTATTTGCATGAGTACTCGTTCCTGTGATGAGGGACCTGTTTCTGGCTGTGCATAAAAATAACACATAAAAATTATTTTTTTAATTTTGGGACCTGGATGGTTTAAAATATGTCTTATTAAAGTTGCAAAAAATGTTTCTTAAAAAAAGGAGCCAATTTAATATAAATTATAATATTTGCTTTTGGTAGCAAATTAACATACACGTCTCAAATATGCAAGGTACTCTTTAATGTGAGAGTGTTAACATTTTTATATGTGAAGATGATTTTTAAAACTACTGTTTTTTATTTATTAATATACAAATACATGGTTTGCTAGACCTGGAGCCAAGGCAGACTGCTCATTAAGCAGTTGAAATAAATATGCCAAATGATTTCAAATTGTGTTAACAGTCTTGTGATCCAGTGAAGCCTAGCCCTGTCAGTGACCTTGTTGTAGTGGAGCTAAACAGCTGGATCACCAACCTGACACAATTTGTTATTGGTCGGTGCTTGAGAAGCAGCACACTGGTGAGGTTGTACCTATGCTCTCCAAGCACAGGTACAACTAAGCACAGGTCCAAGCACTATGCAAAGTTATAAATGCTGCTATTCATGGGATTATAGGTTGGTGATATCAAGACAGATTGAGATATGCATGTTCTATGTGGACTAAAATAGATAAAATTATTTCTTAATTAATGCTTTATTTAGATTATAATGTGTTTATATGGAATTCAGCTTTAAATAACAATTATTAGTACAATTTTTAAAGATCATTTTTAATCCTCCAGGGAACCTCATGCATGGAGCACTCGGTCCCGATTGGATCTGTGCTGTTGGCAAATAAAAGCAGATTTGTATTTCTATTTCTGCCAGCTGTAATTCCATCCCAGGCTAAAGCCTAGATCATGGGCATTCCTATGGGGAAGTTAAAGCCAACACAAAGCCCCTGCCCCCCTGTGTCTGTATGTTTCCAATTATTAGTTATGTGCATATGTTCAAGTAATCCAGAACAATAGGATTGCACTGGATTATATAATTACAGACACGATACTTAGTGCCTGTGTACACATACCAACAGTACAGTACACAAGTGCAAAGCAGATCAGTGCACTGTACGTGAACAAGATTGATGTCTGCTCCCACTGAATTTGTGCAGCCTCATATCAGTGCTGGCTCCTCTCACCTGCTCTGCCTTCCAACCAGCAACCTTGCCGTTCTCTCTTGCCTGTTTATGGAGTGATGCTTCTTTTAACAATTAAATTTTTCCCCCGGCTGTAGAAAGTGGGTTTGTTAACTTTTACTCTCATTCTTTTTTCAGGGTATTGACGAAGGCCCAGGCGGTCTGAAACTTATTTCTGACATTATTCGTGAGAAAATGGATATTGATATTAGTGTATTGATGGGGGCTAACATTGCAAATGAAGTGGCTGCAGAGAAGTTTTGTGAGACAACAATAGGTAAGCTACATATAGCTTTACTCATGTATACCTTCTTATTGGAGGATGTAAAAGCAATCTTGTGTTGAGTTCATAGCAATCAAAGTTCTGCAGGCACACACAATATAAGGTTCCTGCTCCTGCCTCCATAATGCTGCCCCAATCTGTTTTTGGGCCTTCAGCCTTTAATAATGGTGCTCTAGGGTGCTTGCACTCGGTAATAGGTTGCTCAGACTGAGCCTTTTGGGATGACAGGGGAAGGTGTATTGTGCTCTATACCGAGAAATGTGTGTTTTGTCAGGTCTAGAGCAGTGGTAAGTAGGGCTGCAACTAATGAAGGGCTGCAAGCTGGTGAAGCAGGTGTTTGCTTCATCAGCTTCTCTGGGGGTCCCTAGGTGACATTAGGGGTCTTAAAGACCCCTGATGTCTCCATAAAGAGGACCTGCCACTGAAAATTGGCTATCACATAGGGGGCTTGTTAGTCCCCTATGTGATGGCAATAAAGTTAAGTGGAAAAACATTTTGAAAGTCACATATAAAGGTAATTTAAAAAATGTAACCCTTTTTTTAAGTCCCCCGCCCCCACATAAACATGCGTTGAGTGCGCCTAAGTGTGTAAACGACAATTGCATCCATTACGCCGCACATGTTACGTATCGCCACGAATGTTGCAGTGAGAGCAATCATTCTAGGCCCATTAATCACTGATAACACTAAACTGATGAGCGGTAAAAGCTTTTAAAGCGTTGCCTATGGCCAATTTTGGGTATGGTAGTTTTTGCGAGTTCGCGGCCGCACGCAATTTTAAAGCTTAACATGTTTGTCTATTTACCCGACGTGACCCGATCTTTTATATTTTGCCAAAGATTTGGGTAAGAACTGTCTTGTAACATAACGTAGGGAAAACCAGTTTTTTTTTTCTTCAAATCTTCGGTACTTTTTTCATTATAGTAAAAAATAAAACACCCAGTGGTGATTAAATACCACCAAAAGAAAGCTCTATCTGTCCCCAAAAAATGGTATAAAATTAATTTCAGTACAGTGTTGTATGATGGAATAAATGTCAAAGTACCGCAGCGCTGAACACTGAAAAATGGCCTGGACAGGAAGGGGGGTGTAAACACCCCGGTCAGCAAGTGGTTAAAAAAAAAAAAAAACATTGTCAGTATATTTCCATTTTGTTATATCTTTAGTGATTGTGATGTGATTAACTATGGATGTCACATTTTTTCAAACTAACTTTGATTAGTATCTTTGAGAATTGCTTGTTTTTCGGGTGTATGCCACTGGCAACATTTTAAATCTGGATTCACCTTTTTTTTCTTTTCCTGCACAAAAGAATTGCCTTCCTTGTGTAGAGCAGTAATTGCAGTAGAGCGCTGGAGTTTGTGCCTTGTACATATTTGTTTGTTATGGCAAGAAGATAAACCTCTGGAGTATAGGTTATCATAAAATCCATTTTGGAACTTCGAAGTGAATTTAGAGGTGATTTGCTGCCAATATCTTTGAATTGCAGGACAAAGCCAGCAGACCTTTTATTGTAACCGCCTTGTCAGGTACATTGCGTGTAGCAGAGTCTATAAGATGTCATTAGGAATCACACAGTTGCCAGAGTTTTACTTCAAACTTTGTTCTTTTAAAGTCTATTTCTGGGCAAAATGTGCAGCTCCTTCTTCCAAGTCACCCACCCGTAACTCCTTTAGTACCTGGATCGGTGGTCACGTGATCCTTAAGCCCTGCGGGCTGGGCTCAATTTCAACCGGTCTTATCGCGCCTCCTCGTGATGTCATCAAGTTGCTGCATTCTTCTGAGACAGCAAATTGTGTGTTCTCGTCAACCAGGCAGTGATGTGGGCTCTTCAAGGAGGAAGCAAGATGTTTTGGGACCCCAATGCGAAAGCGGATCTAGTTGAGTATTTGGGCCTTCAGCTAAGGGCTAGTTCACACCAAGCGCGGAGCAGGTGCAGACCGGATCACAACTGCGTCCAGTGTATTCCTATGGTATTTTTAGCTCGAGTTCACATCGCAGCGTGCAGGTCCAGAGCAGGTAAAAAAACTGCAGAAGGCCCTATTTTACCTGCTCTGGATCTGCAAACGCATGCAAATTCCTGGAACACACAGAAAACCCATGTTGAACTAAAAAACGCATCTAAGAGGCTAGCGTGCGTGTGCAGAAACCGGACCGGATCTGCTCTGCATTTGGTGTGAACAAGGCCTTAGTTATTTTTTGTTCTTTATGAATGGGGCAATCAGTTAGAGGGAGGGGGGATTGTTTGTGGAGGAAGACTGTATGAACTTTGTTACAAATGTATCAAGTATGGATCCTGTATATAACCAGAGCAAGGCATAAGAGTGCCAGTTGACTGCTTGAAAAGCTCATCTTTATAGACGTGCTTTATGGTAGATTTTCCCTGAAGATTATGCATCATTACTGTATGTCTACTTGAGATAATGAAATAAATATCCACATTATGTAACACATTAAAGTATATCACCCAGTAGACAAAATAAAAAGCTATTTATATCCAATCAAGAAATATATTCTGCACAATCAGACACAGGATTTTTTTTTTGTCCTGCATAATTTCATTATATCTTCTGAATGTCTTGAAAGCAACAAATAGGAGACATAATGTTCTAGCTATCCAATTTCATGCTTTGGAGATCAGGTAATAATTGGACACCCATAAAAAGTACTCAGGTTTATTAATATGTATATTATAATGGTCATTAAAACCAGTTCAGGGCAGTTGATGTATCCTTTCATACTGAGTGTTCAGCCGCATTATAATTGTGCCCTTTCTTTGAGATAGATGCTCACTGGGGCACTCTGGACTCCTGGGGGGTTGGAGTACTTTAGAATTGAAATTCATAAATTTCCTGCCTACACACTGACACACAAAAAGATGACTGGTTTGTACTCTTACAATGAGATTCTTTGGGTACAGCTGTTTGAAGAGGACATGTGTTCTGGAAGCTGTGCCCAAAAAAGGGCAGGCATAGGGCAATATATTGTAAGGGGGATAGGCTCAATTGGTATTTTCAGCAGTAAACCATGCATGAGACGGGTACACCCAGGAACAGTCTAAGAACAGTCTAAGACAGCGAAAAAACACAGTTTCAATGCAAGAGCCATAGCATTAAAAAAAATGTTGCTTGTTCGAGCCACTAACTAAACTTGGGTCAGTACTTGAACAACAGGGTGCCCCCTTCTCTAAAACAAACAAGTAGGGATACACCGAAATTTTGGCCGAAAATTGCACTTTTGGTAAATTGCCAAAAGTGCCATGAAGGTCGAAAATGTGTTAGAAAATTCAGTGTATCCCTAACTTCTCTCCTCTCCACTGTGTGCCTTCTGGTGCAGCGACCGGTGCCCAGCAGGGAGGAGGGAAACTTTGAGGGCCCATTCACACCACATCCAGATCAGACCAGATTGTTTCCGGACTCCTAATGTATCCTTATGCTATTTTTGGCCTCTGTTCACACCAGCGCAGTCTGTGCCAGACCAGAAAAATACTGCATGTCTCATTTTGTCTGGTCTGGAGTGCACTGAAACTGCGGGCAGGTCTGGTCCGGAAAATGGTGTAAACTTGCCCTCAGGATGCCGAGGGTGCGAGCTGTCATCGTTTCAGGAGACCGAGCTCTCCTCCTGTACCTCCCGGCTCGGCCTCTTGTGTCAGGATGAAGAGCAGTGAGTTGCAGTGACAGTTGTCATCATGCAAGAGGCCGAGCTCTCCTTCCGGCTCGGCCTCCTGTGTCGGTATGGAGAGCGGTGACGGCTGCGATCTGTTACAGGAGGTGGAGTTCTCCTCCCACACCTCCCTGCTCCAGCTCCTGTGTCCGGATGGAGAGCCGTGAGCGGAGGAGAGCACTGTGATCTGTCACAGGAGGCGGAGCTCTGGCTCGGCCTCCTGTGAAAGCCGATTCAGGATAGAGAGTGGTATACAAACGCTCGCTGATCATTGAGTGTTTGTAAATAACTGGACATAGTATGCTTACTGTATCCCAATTATGAATGAATTATGAATGAATGGGAAGTGATCTACATCACTTCCTATTCATTCATGATTGTGGACTTCGTAAGCACATTATATCCACAATGTTTGAATGGACAGGAACACTCAATATAGAGGCTTCCTGTTCGTTTAGAACAGGGGCTGCAGAAAAAGAGATTGAGGACTCTGTGTCTCTTTGCACTCTATGCCCACAATCTCTTCTTTTCCTTTTAAAATAGAAAAAAAAAAAAATCATGATTCTGTTTTAGACTCCTGATATTTCCTTAGACCCCCCAGCAGTAAAGTCATTTTCGGTTTCAGTTTTGGCCTGACAATTTTTTTTTTCGGTCTCAAAATTCAATTTCTGTGCATCCCTACAAACAAGCAGCCCTTGTACTTTTTAGCATTCTGTCAGCACTCTGCTTTTTCACACAGCAGCAGGCTCCCACTGTAAAGAATGAGCGAGCCCTCAGGCAGCTCACGTATATAAAGACCTGTGGACAGATGAGATTAATAATGAGGTCTGAGTACCAGGTAAGATGGGTGCCCAGGAATGAAGACTTTATCCCACCCTAAGGGCTGCAGAGCTTCAGGATTTAGAACACAACTTAAGATTTTTTTTTTCTCCTCTCCAAACCCTGAAGTTTTGTTTTTAACTTAGTTCTCTGTTTTTCCTCAGGGAGCAAAGTGCTTGAACATGGGTTTTTATTTAAAGAACTTCTGCAGACCCCGAATTTCCGTATAACTGTGGTGGACGATGCAGATACTGTGGAACTTTGTGGTGCCTTGAAGGTAACATACAGTATTTTGTTTTTTTTCTTGTGAATTCTGCTGCTCTCTTGTACAACTGCAGCTCACATATGAAGTCACCATCTGAAATACTGTGTATGAGTGCCGGTTAAACTGTTGAGTTGTCTGTCAGTCACAGGTGAGGATCATTCGTTAAATATTGGCATACCTATATTTTTATGTATTTAACCACACATAGACTAAAATGATTTGTATTTTTAAATCTGTTTTTCTGTTTTAAAGCTGGACACTGGGCTGACATAAAAGACATACATTTTTGCAGTTCTGTATTCATTAATGAACCACTTAAAATATTTTCCAAATGCAAATAGCTTAAAGACCTGAATGAATATCAGCCTCTTGTAATCCCCTGTACTGCAGCACTTACAGCAGATTGGGAGAGTGAGGGGCACAAATTGAAGCCAATGAGGCAGGCCACATGCAAATTTGCTGTCAAGTAACATGATAGGAGGAGAGAGTAGAATGAGCAAAGAGATGACCTCGCCAGTCTGCTGCTCTTCATTCACAGTCCAGTCACAGGCTAGGGGTGGAGTGATGACACCACTGTATTGCAGAGAAAGTGGTGTCATCGGCCTGGCTTAGCTTTCTGGCAGGGCTGTGTAGATTTCAGGACTGGATATACAGATAGAAATCCTTTGGCAGGTAATATTGCTCCCTTTTTATGAATTTCATCTGTGTATTTAGAAGATTGCCCGAAGTACAACTTTAGGAATGTGTCCATATTACAAGAAAGTGATCGCTCAGAAAATAACTGGTGCCTACATATTGAATTGGAAAAATTATTTCTATCTAAGTTACAAATGGCTTATGTAGCAGTTATATAGGTTTAATTTCTTCAAAAAAGGGAGGTTTGGAATTTTTGAATGATAACAAATGCGGTAATATGTACAAAATCTAGTCATATTTTCAGATTTTTCCATATGAGCCAACATGCATCTGTACATTCACTCTTCCTGCCCTTGCGCACACACACATACCCGTGCAATTTTTAGTACCTTCACACATAATTGTGTGTGTGTTTTTTTGTTTTTGTTTTTATATATATGTGTGTGTGTGTGTTTGTGTATATATGTATGTGTGTGTGTGGAGTTGGCAGACGCTGTTTCCAAACTGGCCGAGTAATGTATTTAGGGGTAAGTTTCAATTACTACATGGCTGGTTTTTGCCCCCTTATTGGCATTACTGTCCATCCTGCGCGCACACACACATACCTTGATATACACTTGCACATATCTCTTGGAGGAGCTGATAATATGCCATGTACATGAATAAAGGACTTTTGCAGTGGCATGGCAGCAACAGGAGAAATTAGGACTCTGTATTAATGGCATGCCCCTATTAATGATATCCAGTTACTTTATCTGTGTATATTTAGTATTACACATCGGTCGGTGTCTCCTCAAGACAAGAAAATGTTTCAAACAAAACTATTAATGGGCTGTAATGCATGTCAATGCCTAAAAAAAAAATCTGATCTGGATGTATACTGTAGAGGAAATGGGAGTAAAATAGAGCCCATGGTTGCATTAATAGCAACTCTCAGCATTGGTGTCACTTGTCACAGTTGTAATCCCGAGCATTGGTGTCAGTGGATTCAATAATAACATCCTGCATTGGTGTCAGTGAGCAAAACAATAACCCCCAGCACTGGTGTCAGTAATGCAATAATAACCACCATCATGTGTCAGTTGCCGCATTAAGATCCGTCAACATTGGTGTCAGCCCCCACGCACAACCATCTTCCACTATTAGCACTCCCGGCATTCCTGTGGATAATGCATGAGTTGTATTAAAATGAACTTGGGCCAAGCACACTCCTCTGCTACTGACACTTTACTGGCATTTCCTTTCCTCAGCATTGTTTATTTACCTGCTCGTCCTATCCCACCCTGCTCTCTCTCTCCCTCTCTCTTGGCCTGAGGACGTCCTGGGACTATACTTCTATTGTTGGGCGGAGTTACCTCTACCTGACAGTAGCAGCTTTATTCTAGTGCCGAGTGTGAGAACGCAGAGTGTCCAAACACCCAGCTGCAATTCTGCAAGGAGTGAGTGACGGTGACACCCCCCATGCACGGTTTGGCCCAAATAAAAGCCTGAATTTGATGTGGAGTTGTGTGATGTTTCGCGTGTGTTGGCAGATTCAAAAGGGTTTTTCTTCTCATATGGAAGTTATGAATCATTGTCCTGCCTAACGGGAAATAATATAGTAATTAGTGAGTGCCCAACATATACTGAACAGCAGATATGCATGTTAAGCCACAAAAATGACCCAGTATTGGTCCGAATGTTTACAGGTAGCTTTACTATACATGTAGGTTGGAAGGTTGAGTACCAAAAGGATTGAGTGCTGATTATTATATCTGAGCTCTCACCCGAATCCAACTTTTTGCTGCATGAGAATTTCAATCTCAGAGGATTTGGTGAGATCCTGAAACTTGGATGGATGTGAATGGGGAACCATCCTGAAATTGTATTATTGATGGAAATAATCAATGGATGGTAAAATATCAGGCTGTCCAAATATAATAATCTATATTGATATGTTAAGTTTAGATTGAGGCAGGCAAGTTGATTTGCCTACTGGCTTTTCAGTGGTAGGTGTAAGACTGCAAGATGGGGGTCAGAGCTGGAGCATTCAAGGGAAAACTAATGGTTTGGGGTCAAGTTTTAGTTGGGTTCTTAAGTTTATAAGGTTTTGAAACAGTTGGGTTATGTTAAAGCTTTCCAAGAGCACTATGGGTTGGCTAAAGAGACATCGCAGCAGAGCTGCTTGCTTTGAGGCTCCATTGTTGGATTAAAACTTCAAATTGAAATTGAGTAATCAGATAAGGGACGAGTCCCTGCTGACATTGAGCGCATGTAAACAGGCTTCTTTCATTGAAGAATCGGCGAGCCTTTAACTAGAGCCTAAAGCTCCCCCGTCTGGCTCAGAACCAGAAAGCCAAACATTAATGTGCTATATTTAATTTTACCTGCAAAAACTACCTAAAATTATTTGAAATGAAACTTTATTTAACCATATCATAATAAATACTGTAAGGACGTTGTGGTAGATTTTTGTTTCCTGCTAAAACAGGTTTAGCAACTCAACATTCCAGCAGCATTGAAGCTGCCATTCCACAGCCCTGAAACTTCTGTTTGCTGTGTGTCCAGTGTGGAAAACCTTTTGTAACACATTGTTCCCTTGAGTTTGAGACAATAGGTCATTTCATTCATGTTGTTGAGCAGACATATATGTGAATCGATCAACGTTTCTCCACCTTTTTTTCAGTCATGGCATCCTTTAAAAGTATGCAAAATCTTGAGGCACCCCAGTCAAAAATGTAAAAAGTGACGTGTGGCCCCTCCAAAATAGGGGTCTGGTATAAATTAAAAGGGGTGTCCCTGCACAAAAAAAAATAGGGTTCCCTCTTCATATCAGGAGTCCCCCTTTACATCAGGAGCCTACTTTACAGCAAACCCTCCCTCCTTTCACATCAGGGTCCCCCCTCTCACACTAGGAGCCCCCTCCTTTCACATCAGAGCCCCCCCTCTCACACTAGAATCCCTTCTACACATCAGAGCCCCCTCCTTTCACATTAAAGTCCCTCTCTCACATTAGAAGCCCCTCTTCACATCAGAGCCCCCTCCTTCCAATGTGAGAGGGGGACTCTGATGTGAAAGTCCCTCTTCACATCAGAGCTCCCTCCTTGCACCTCAAAATCCAACTTTACATTAGAAGTTTTCTCTTTACATCAGAAGCCCCTCTTCACATCAGAACCCCATTTTCCTATCGGAATCTCCTCTTGCACATCAGGAGCCTGCCTGCACCATGGAAATGCATGACGCTATGCAAACATTTTGAGGCACCCCAGGGAGCAACACACACTGGTAGAGAAAGGGTGGTATAGATTTAGCATTCAGTTGCTTCATGTAAGCCTCTTTTACACCAGTGGCTGACTTATAGCACGGCCTCTGGTGTGCACTGTGAAGGGGAGCGGTGCCGATGCAATGTAGTGATGCATCACACTTTACTTTCTTTTCCTTTTCAACTTTATTGAAATGTATCAAACATTTCATTTTTATTCAGCGTATTGGGATGTGGGTGTAGTGCATTACAACATGCATCGTAGGACTTAAGGCAAATTGCCTTGTCTTTGCATTGTGCCTGCGGCACAACGGGGCTGGTAGAAATGAGCCCTTAAGCTGGGCATACCTGGTAGATTTTGGTATGAAAGTTCATATGAAAAATCTTGACTGAGCATTTGATAATACCATCAGAGATTTGACGAATGTTTATTTGATTTTAAAGTAGTACTAAATCCTCAGTTTTTCTTCAAATACGTTTTGCTTCAATTCATTATTCTTTCCAAGGATGCCCATAAACACGTACATTTACAAAATGTGAATGGTGCAGCCTCTATTGTCCTCTGTGCAGCTTTCAGGAACTTCTTGTTGGGAAGTGTGCACTGTGATTCCCTCCTCAACACTACATGTCCCATCATGCCTTTTGACATCACGCATGTGTGCTGGCACCACCATCACCTCATTGCTATTCCTCTAGGCTGCCTGTGCATGTACAGCCAAGGCAGCGGTGGCAGGTATACCGGGAGCACGCACGTAAGGGTGGCTCCCACGGGACTATATAGGAGCTAGGAGCCACCCATACGATGGAAATCAATGCCACAGATTGGGAATGTTAGTCAAATGAGGACACAAAAATGAAGATGCTTCATAAAAAGCAGTAAACAATGTAAGTCCTGTCTTCAGCATGTCAATTAGCCAAACGTAAAATAGGGTTTAATATCGCTTTAACATTCGTTTCACTGTTAGAGTTTAATTTGTTTGGGGGGAAAAAAATTCCATCCTTCTCTTTTGATTTTTTTTTCTTCATTACGGTTGAATCAATCATGGCTTTGACCCCATTAGAAAATCAAACGAGCATTCCAAAAACAAATTTTTCAGATGAAATTCTACTGGCGTATGGCTGGCTTTAGTTCAGT